ATTTGCTTTTAACGAGTGAATGTTTATTTTGAGAATTTGCGGCCAGAGCGATGTTCTAGTCAGAATTTTTCAGGGTGTTGAGCAAGAATCTGAGGACCAGTCTGTAGTAGGAGGCGATATTACGTCTTCGGAAAAGTCTACGTTTTAGATCAGTATACCACAGAGATTTAGGTAAACACTGAGATTCAAAAGCTGCACAGGAAGCATAAATAAGATTCTTTTACCAGAGAAGAGGATTGCCATGTACAGAAATAAAGTACTTTTGTTGCCAAGGGTAGAAAACAAAGAACGTGGCGTGAAAATTAAATCATCCCATCGCTATGCTCACCCTGTTCAACTATAATATTGTGGATCGCTTTATAAAAATACATTGAAAAATCATCAACTTTCCCTTCTCCTTTTTCGCTTTGCACTAGTGATTGTACATTTTGTCAGTACGGTTGAATGGCAGTTAATTTCCATTTTCATACACATTTATTGATTTACAAATCAATTTAAAGTTCTATGTTCTTCTATGATTTGTTCTTTCTGTTTATCATAGCGGTAAGGTTTAGTCCTACAGGGTTTGTCGGCAGTTAACTGTATCTCATGCGTAACTATTTGACAGCTACCAGGCCGTTCTGAAAACAAGTTTGAAAAGTACTCACCATTTGCTGGATGGCTTGACTTTCATGGTCATTCAAATGGCTAAGGTCAACTTGCGGTTGTTCCACTGGTTCCACCACCCTCCGATCCATCTCCAGCACAATAGAACTTATCCTGAGAAAATTCAGTTTGGCCTTCGCGGCTTTTAAAAACTCCATACTTAAAATAAGTGGACTTTGCAAATGTTTTACTACAAAAATTAATACTTTAAGGCTTTCATTTTGAACCTTTATTTTTAAAGATAGTTTTCCTATACATTGACAAGTTTGTCCTTACGCTGCTATGATTTCTGTGTTTTTATTTTTAAATAATCGTAACCTATTAAAATTCTTCTTAAAAAAATATCACTCATAAAATTACCTCCTGCTTCTGTATCGATGAGGGCTTCTACTCGTACATCGCCAACCAAGACTTGTATAATTGGTAATTGCGAATTTTTTACGATGACCGTATTTAAGTATCTTTTTGAGGGTTTTTTTCAAAACTTCCGGGGTCTGGACCCTCGCTTTCACAGGCCCCTCTAGAAAGTTTAAAGCTTTCCTTTCAACTTCAACTCTGCCTTCTGGGTACGCGGACGGTTGTTTTCAAATTTCCTTTTTGGGCCTTGACCCTCGAGCTTCGATGAGTTAGCTTGATAGCTCTTTCCCCCATAAGAGCGGTTTGCATTTCTGGTCTGCTCATTTGAAGATTGCCTTCGGATACTTTGAGAATAGGATGCCCCTCTAGCTTTTTCCGCTATTCTGCGATTTTGGAACTTGACCGCCAATTCGAAGAGCTCCTGCAATGTGCTTGGGTTTCTAATTTCGAAATAATCTTGAGCAGCAGGTAGCAATCTTGGTAAGATTATTTCAATAATCTCCGCGTCGGGTTTCTTACAGCATATCCGTCAGCTTAATTTTTCGCAGAATGAAGTCCGTCAACTCTTCTATATTCCGTTGATAAAAACTGTATAGTTCGGCTTCTAGCCTTGCTCGGTCTTTCACCATATGGGGAAGGCCTTTAATAACGATGATTTTTGAAATTTTCAAATGGTATATGTCTGGCCTCCGAATTCCCCTAATAAAAATTTGCCTATATTCTTCCACCATAGTGCGGCCTGTCCTCTTAGTGCAGATGTGGCGATGGCAACTTTTTGTCTTTCTCAGGCACAGGGTATAGCTGGAAATGATTTTCTAGGCCTTCTAAAAATATCGCCACCGAATTTTTTCCGTCGAAATTGACGTTTGGCTTGATTGACGCTCTCATTCGTCTGGACCAGGTATCCAAATCCTTCCAATTGGTTTGCCATTTCTTGTTGTTGTCCAGCAGCTTCCATCCAATTTTCGGCCATTTCAGTTCGACAAGTGTTCGGGTTCGGGCGCCAATGTAATGTTGCGCGCTTCCAACCTGCACGCAACAATAGTGGTGACTGCTATGAACTGGAAAGTATACAAAGTCTTGAGGAGGGTTTAAATCCCTCTTTATTCAACTTTAGAAATTACAGATGCGTGCTCTTGACGCTCACAAACTACGCCGAACCGGCGGTAAAATAAAAATAAGAAACTAAAAAAAGAATACCAACAAGTGCCTAACTACGAGGCTCTCTAAACGTAACTAACCTAACCGCGTTCTAAAATACCTCTGACAATTCAGCAAACTTCTGAATATTACGTTGAAAGATTTAACAATCTGCCGAGGCAAGCACACAGGCCGAAACGCGTGGTTCTTCAATTTCTAACTAGCCACCTCCACGCTCGTGAAGCAAGAAAGCACACCTTCGAACTCGTTTCCCTTCTATTTAACTCAGATTACTTCCGCTGACAATTTGAATCCTTGCGCGTTCTACTAAAATTTACATACTCTGGCATTGGCAATTCTAGGGGAAAGTGAGGCTTGACAGGAAAGATAGTTTAAACTTAAAATAAATGTTAGTTAAAATAAATCTAAACCCTACAAACTAACAAAGGTCATTAATAAATTAAGCTTTTTTATAATGTTTAACTGATACCTTTTCATGAAAAATGCAGTTTAAAAATGCTTAGACAAAAGAAGATAAATAACCCCACGAGGTAACCTGAATAAAAATTGTATACTTAAGGATAATTTTTTTTTCACATTTGTTAATCTGATATTGTTTTATTGAAAATTACATGTTGTTTTGTTTCCGTTTATTCTTAAAGTGTTATTAACATTTTCAAGTAACGCGTGCAATCAATTTTTTGGATGTCGATTTCTTAGCTATGTAGAAAGTTAGTTAGATAATATGTCACTATGCAATTTGAAAAACACATGTATGCGATGTTAGCGTCATGCGATGATTGGTAAGTACTTTATTTTTTACCACGATATTTTCGATGACGATGTTCTTAAACTGCGAAGTATTTGAACAACTTTGTTTTCGACCACGATATGTTAGAACCGCGATGTTTTCTCCCACGATGTTTTGTACCACGACGTTTTCTCCGCGACGTTTTCGTCTGAGCTGTTTTTGCCGCCATGTTTTCGGCTGTAACCCAAGATATTGCTCAAAGCCGAACGCGCTACAGAATTCTCTATGAGGAAAATGAAAAAATGTTATCATAATACATGAATCTTGGTTATTTAAATGACCGAAATAAAAAGAGATCCATTTATTACCATCAAAGCGAAGAAAAAAAATCTTAGAAACTAAAGAAAGTTTCAAAGGAATTTATGATCCTTGCCGTTTTTTTATATAACGACAAATAAAATTAAAGAGAGTGTAAAATACTGTTATAGTCAACTCTATATATTATCAATAATATGTTTTCTACCTAATTTGCAAATATATAATACATTCCCTTTACCCACAGTGCCATCAATCAGAAGAACTGTTCAAGACAAAGCAGACAGCCAAACGTCAAAATCCACTGTTAGTGTCCTGTAAAAAATGGAACGTGTATTAAAGCCACACCCTTCATCCATATCCCTACTAAATCTTCTCATGTATTTGATACTATAAAAGGCTTCAGTGTCTTGGAAATGATGGTGTATAAAGACAGTAAAGAATAAGGGTTATCAAATGAGACATTCCAAACACAAAAATGTTAGGTAAAATATTTCTGTAAATACAATGAAAATCGTCTAAAAATAGCGGAACAGTCTCTGCATTTGCTTGAGATTAATTTGATAATTCGGTATTAAATTAGTAAAAAGATTTTATTAGGCTTTAGTTTCGGGTTTGAGTGAGTATATTGCTTGACTGTGAATTCGTATACACTGCCCTTTTTAGAGCGCGACTGAAGATTAGAGAATTCGTTCGCAAACTCCTGGTGGTGAAGAATCATCGTCCACAACCACTTAAGTTCTCTGTAGAGTCATTTGGTTATATCTGAAGCAGTAGACATGAAAAATGAGCAATGCTCTGGCCGGGACTCGAGCCTGGATTTCTGGAATACGCGCCGAGTGTGCTACCGTTACACCACGAAGGCATTTAGAAAGGACGGAAAAAATATAAATAGAACTACTGCAGTTGAGGTAGTTTCAAATTAACAACAATATCGTACTTCATTCTGAAACTCTATTTGCACACTCATATAAACAGCGAAAATATGTATTATTTATTTTCCGTTTTCAGAACCCTAAAAATAGTTTTAAATTTTAGAAGATACCAGATACACTTCTGTATGTTTGCTTCTTCGTTTTTACTGAACATAAACCGCAGCAACGAAGTCGCAAATAGAATGCGTAAAGCTAGAATTAGAAAATTTAATAGAACTGTTATAAGTTGCGCTTACCTTAACACAAATTTCCAGGTCATCTTTGATATTTGTCAAGGTCATCTTTGATATAGTTTTGGATGTTGCTTTGCAAAAATACATATACTTGCTGACAGGGTTACTTCTGTATGAAGCATCCAAAATAGAATGAGAGTAAAAATTTGACATTTTGAGTTCAGTTTTTATGTAGTTAGATACGTACGGTATTCAAAACAAAAAAATCAATGTCCACTTTAAAAACGCGAAAGTTAGATTTTTTCCCCCTGTTAGAATATTTTTAAAGTTAAGTATCATTTTATCGAAGGAAAAGGCAATATAGATTGTATAATGATCGTTAATAAATAAAAATTATGCCGCTGCCTTCAACGCATTTTTGTCGGAAATCTTTGCTGGAATTATGTGTACCAGAATCTTCTCAGTGTCGGAAACTTTTGCCTTAGGATATACCTTTGAGGATATAAGTATATACGCAATGGTATAGACCTAAAGGTTTAGTGAAACATTTTTCAATCATATGAATTTAACAGTTAGAACATTAAATCAAATTCAGAAACAAATTACCGCATTTTATGCAATAGAAATTCAGCACTACCGAATTAAGAATGCAGTAATACTATTTTATTATACGTATGCATAAAATATCAGCATAGAGAATTAGGACAAATTTAAAGGAACACAAACTGAAACACCTTTATAAGAAGTGTAATAAAAACGATTAAACTGATTTACCATTCAAAGAGGCTTTAAATTATTCAAAAGAATTTGATGCCTAAATTTATGATGAAGGCACCAATTTTAATGGTTTTATGTTAATTTTTTCAATTAAAAGCTTAGAAAACACAGAAAATTTGCAAGATGTCATGTTCTTATTAGTGGTCTTTGTATTATTTGGAAAGATGTCCAATAACCCCAGTATGCATCTGAAGGTCACCTCTGAGCAGTTGTTGAAAATTTCTTTAACACATGTCTTCAAAGGAGTATTCAATTCGCTGTATGAAAGAAATATACGATTTATTTACAAATAACATTCACAAAATAACTTTCTAAGCAATACAAGTATGAACATAGACTATTGTTAAAGAATATTTTCATAAATACAATGCTTTCTCTTTCATAGTAAATTTTTAATCTATGTTTCATGCATTTCTTTTAAAACTTCTGAATGTTGAAATTTTCTCTAGGAAAGAATCTCATATGGACACTACAAGATTTTGGTATTTATTTTAAAGAAAACATTCATATGTATGGGCCTATTATATTGTACAAGTTTTTTGCTGCATTTCATTTAAACTTATTTCCTCGAATTTCATGAGATATATTGCTCATTCAATTAATTAGATTCGCACTTTTCGGCAAGACTAAAATACATAAAAGCTCAAAATATTTTCATTAAAAATTAAAAAATATAGAAAAGCATAAAACACAAAATACAGTTAAAATAGTTTAAAAAAAACAGTTTTTACAATTAAAATTAGTTTCTACGCAAAAACAAGCGATTCGGCCAGCGGGCAAGAAGGCAGATTTTTCGGTGCGCAAAACTGAAAGTTTACGTTTGGTCCCACTCGGCGAAAAGATACTGAAGGTGCAGAAACTGACTTAATTCACTGCTCTGCTAAATTTCAAATGTAAAACAATAACTGCTGTGTTAGGCTTAGTTGTACTTAAACACCTTTTAAATTGTTCCTAATTTGATAACTATTGCATGCAGATTCATTAATACATAAAAACCTTAACCGGAATATCAAAACAACATACTTCAATCACTTTCAAAGCCAAAAAGTGAACAATTTACCAAGAAGGGTACCCACAAAGGGAAGGGATGCCCTTCGCGGAGAACTCTTTAAGAGAAATTGGGTCGTATCCACGTGACACATGAAAAAAGATCACAGAAACTTCCCTGTACCTAGTCTGTGAGGATTTCAATCCGGATCCAACAAGGTCCTTGGCGTTGGTGGACAGTAAGATTTGATTATGTTGATTAACATCTTTCGAGCATATAACAGAATAAATAACTAAATTACGCGCAACTGAAAGTCTAAAAAATGATACTAGAAATTTAAGGAAAACTGATTCGTATTTGCGTAACACATGAGAAACCACAGCGAGCTCATTGCATCAGGATGTGAAACCATGTCGAAGTATCAATGTTCAGTGATTTTAAAAGAACAAATAAATATGGCAAGAGGGAAATTTTCATGCTTTACTTTTTCCATTTTTATGGATATAGGTGACACCATCACTCTGAATGACTTTACTGTACAATCATATTGTAATACCCTGTTTATGTCATGCATTTTAATGAGGCGGAAATACACTACTCGACATTAAAAATGCAACACCAAGAAGGACTGGTCAGAAACTGATGAAATTTGGAAAAAGACAGAGACAGCAAGCAGCAATATTTGATCTTTATTTCAAAATGATAGTCAGAATACAGAGCGAGAACGGCGTCGGCTCAGTAGGATGTAGGACCACCGCGGACAGCGATGCCCGAAGAAGCACGTCTAGGCATAGAGTCAATAAGAGTGCGATAAGAGTGTGGTGTCCTGAGGGATGGTTTTCCATTCCCTTTCAACCATTTGCGACAGTTCGTCTTCTGAACGAGGCAGAGGCAGAGTCTGCAAACGGCTTCCAATCACATCCCACACATGTTCGATTGGTGACAGGTCAGGTGAATACTGTGGCCAGGGAAGCATCCGTATTCTTTGCAGAACATGTTGGCAGATGCGAGCACTGTGTGGTTGGGCGTTATTCTGCTGAAAATTTGCATTAGGCAGCCCCTGAAGGTAGGGGATTGCTACCGGCCGCAGTACATTATCCAAGTATCGTTGAGCCGTCATAGTGCCCTGGATACGAACTAAAGGTGATTTAGAATCGTAGGCAATAGCGCCCCAAGAGAGGATTAGAGGATTCCAAAACAAAGTTTAAGAAACTGAAAACAAACTGAAATAAGCCTGAAATAAAGTTTCGCTGCGATAGCAAAAAGGTTATTCTAACGAATCAACTTATGTCGCCTTTGAAAATATGAACAAGTCTGAGAATTAGTGTTAGATTTATTTTTGGTATAATGCAAAACGTTCACCCTAACCATCCGAAATGGAAAAATTTTAATTCTACGAATCGACAATGTTATCTTTTATGCCTTCCTGAATTTTATACCTTTTTTTCATTTGAATTATGACGCATAGCAGTATGTGCATTGCTAAACGAAAACTTGGGAAAAGAGAGAAATAGGCGCAGGCGGCGTAGATTTCGGATCAGTGATAAAAATTAATGCATAATGATAACCTGTATTTGTGATCCCCGTAAATGACCTGAAATCTTTACACACATGCATGGTTATATATTTTGCACGTAGTTTCAAGCAGTCTTGAACTTGAAAACGTTCAATAACTATTAATATTAAGAACCTGAATAAATATGCAATGAATCCTAGATTTACGAAGCGAATAAGATCAGATTTTAATTTAATTATCAGTATTTTAATTTAATTATCAGTAATTTTAATCTCACGTATCGCCTTTAGTACACATTTTATTAAAGGTAGAGCAATAACAAGCAGCTGTATTACATCTCAAAGATTTCTTTTTTCTTATAGATTATAAGATTACCAAATGATGGATGTTCTAAATCATAAAAGTTTCCACTGTAGTTCAAAAGGTATTATCAAAAATATGTCTTAGGTACTTTAACATTACAAATGGAAAAAAGATGTATAACATATACTTTTCAAATTTTCTTAAAGTGGTTTTCAAAACAATACTTACTCATGCAATATCTCATTTCTCATATTTTTGGCATCTTCTGTAGTGTCATTTGCACAATAAGTAATGAAGGCATTCTTCATTAGTGGGAAGCAAGATGACAATAAATCTTCGGAGCAAGCTAAATTTATTAATTCAGGTTTAGGATATTTCATTAAATCGTGAAATATTTTTATAAATATGTCATCCAGATTTAAAGGACACTAATAATTATATAGCTCTTGTACAGTTTTGTACAGTTAATACATTGATTTTCATACATACATAAAAAGAGAAGAACAATAGACACATAAAATATATACACATATAAAAGACGAAGAAGTCAGCAAACTATATACAGTAGATTTACCATTTTTTTCCTACTTAATTATTTCCATTCGTTAAATTAGTTGTGATATATTTGTTAAATAAAAAATAAATAAAAAGCGCCTACTTTAATACATACTAACATTAACAAATATCGTCGTTGTAAAAATATAAACATAAATAAGGATAACTTTAAAGTGAGTTCAGGGCAGTTCTCTATTTGCTGGCTTCCTGTTTTTTATGACCCTGTTAGGAGTTCCGTGGCCTTTGCAGTCTTGCATAACTTTATCTTTTTTCTTTGAACTTTTAGTATTATTTATTTATGTGGTTGGATATTTTATCTTTTATATGTCATTGTATTATTTTGAGTATTGTCTGCGATTATGTTATGTAATGATGCTTTATACTGTTGATGTACTATGTTTCTTTGTATTAATATTATTTTTAAGCATTATTTCATTTTTACTATTATTGTATTATTTTAAGTTGATTTATTTCCTTTTATAGGAGTATTAACATAGTTTAATTATTCATGGTACATTTCAGTATTCTTATTATAACATTATTTGTATTTTATACAAATATATATTCTTTCCTCTCTCGAGGCCTAGAGATTCTTTTTTTTTTTTTTTATTGTTGCCTTTCCTCTACTGTGAGTTATGTTATTTACATCTGTAAGACTTGTGGGATACTTCATGGAGGACCAGGATTTTGCATCTGTTTTCTCAATTAAAAAAAATAAGGCTAAACATATTTCTCAAGAAAATGGGCAAGGCGATTTTATAATTAATAATGCTAACATAATTGAAATTTGCTATTTGTTCTATTTTAACTAATTTTATATATCTAATAAATTTCCAGTATTTTCGAATTAAAAAAATTGCATTTTTAAGAGGAAAGAAAATGATTTTTTAAAATATCAGAGAAATTATACAGATAATATACTTCTTTTATATCTCTGAATGTTGGACGATTTCATCTTAACAAAGAGTTCTTTTATTCATGTCATTTTAAAGTAAGATTAAAAATTTTTAAACATATATAAAACACTGACATAAATGTTTACATTAATCGTTAAAATAAATTCGATGATTATAACATTTCGCATACTTGTTTTAACAGCAGATGTATCCCTACCAAAGCGCTAAAAGCTAATAAATTGATTTATCTTTTATTTATAGTTCGAGATATTATAATTCTTCAAACGGTATCTTCGTTGTTTTAACAACTGACATGTCATAGTTTTTATATGTTATATCTTAGCATTAGATGCGGGAATTCTTCTATACTTACAATTAGGACGACAATCACTTAAACAGCCCTAAGAAATATCTTATTTTTATTACTAAAAAGTATAAATACATTTTGTTGCTCTGATCTGTTAAACGGCTAAATTGAAAATGCTACACAGATATTAAAATGAGAATTATTTCATTAACGTTGAAATAACTAAAAACTTTATTAAATAATACACTATGATGTATACTGTTTACTTATTCGTATATGCAGTACTTGCTGCTTATTAAACTCACTGATTAATAAACTCAGCCGCTTACGACGTTAAAATTTCCAGGAATCTATGCTAATCAATTTAAAAACTCACTCAGAAGTCAAACAACAAAAATCAGCGTTATACCTACAAAATTTTCACAGGACTAGTTTCGATGGTTTTACCGAACCATCATCTTCAGCTGCAAAACCGCAAATGAACAAGATAGGAAACAATGATTAGATAAGATAAGAAAGCCTGGACAAGAATAAGCAAGTGGTGCCATCTGTTGGCGAAACCAGAACTAAAACATAATTTCTCTAAAAGCCGAAGGCAAATTTGGATTGGAATTAGGATCGTTACTTAGACAGAAAGATTTTTATGAATATGAAATGCCTCTAGAAAATCCAGTTCTCCAATGGAAGATGTTTTTTGAATAATTTTGGCAGCAGAAAATTGAAAGTGTGATTTTCGGACCAACAATGTTGAGCAACAGAAGACCTCTGTGTTTCCTTTTTTCTAACATATGCCTCATGTTCTTTGACGCGAAATTTTTAAGGCTCTCTTAGTTTGGCCAATGTAAATTAAACCACATTGGCAAGGAATCCTATAAATACCCCAGGAATTCATATCCGGAATGGGGTCCTTGAGTATAGAGTTGGAATTTTATTGATGGAGAAAAAAAACAACCCGAAAGTTAAATTTCTGCAAAATATGTGCAACTTTATAGCTAATTGATGGAAAGAAGGGAATGACAACAGAATTTTATAATCTCCTAAAATAAGAGTGTGGCTTTTTGTGTGTTGAGATGAGAATTTTTTAACTGCTTGGTTAATAATGTTGGGTGAAAAGCCCCTGTCAATAGCTATTGCTTTTAAATAATTTAGTTCTTCATCAAGGGCTAGTTTGGAGGAGCAAACTTGAAGAGCACGGAAAACATAGGAATAAAATGAAGCTAACTTTTGTTTAGTCGGATGACATGATTTAAAGTGTGGTGGAAGGCAAACCGATGAAGGTTTACGGTAAACTGTAGTACTGAAGTTGGATGTGTTACGTGTGACCAGAATGTCGAGAAACGGAAGAGAATTGCAAGTCTCAAGTTCAAAAGTGAACTGAATAGCAGGATCAATAGAATTCATTGTTGAAAGAACTTTATTTAAATCATCTTTATTACCTTCAAACAGGGTAAAAGTATCGTCTACGTAGCGGAACCATGCCGCCAACTTTAAACTTCCCGGCATGGTCCCGCTACGTAGACGATACTTTTACCCTGTTTGAAGGTAATAAAGATGATTTAATATAAGTTCTTTCAACAATGAATTCTATTGATCCTGCTATTCAGTTCACTTTTGAACTTGAGACTTGCAATTCTCTTCCGTTTCTCGACATTCTGGTCACACGTAACACATCCAACTTCAGTACTACAGTTTACCGTAAACCTTCATCGGTTTGCCTTCCACCCACACTTTAAATCATGTCATCCGACTAAGCAAAAGTTAGCTTCATTTTATTCCTATGTTTTCCGTGCTCTTCAAGTTTGCTCCTCCAAACTAGCCCTTGATGGAAGAACTAAATTATTTAAAAGCAATAGCTATTGACAGGGGCTTTTCACCCAACATTATTAATCAAGCAGTTAAAAAAATTCTCATCTCAACACACTAAAAGCCACACTCTTATTTTAGGAGATTATAAAAATTCTGTTGTCATTCCCTTCTTTCCATCAATTAGCTATAAAGTTGCACATATTTTGCAGAAATTTAACTTTCGGGTTGTTTTTTCTCCCATCAATAAAATTCCAACTTCTATACTCAAGGACCCCATTCCGGATATGAATTCCTGGGGTATTTATAGGATTCTTCCTTGCCAGTGTGGTTTAATTTACATTGGCCAAACTAAGAGAGCCTTAAAATTTCGCGTCAAAGAACATGAGGCATATGTTAGAAAAAAGGAAACACAGAGGTCTTCTGTTGCTCAACATTGTTGGTCCGAAAATCACACTTTCAATTTTTCTGCTGCCAAAATTATTCAAAAAACATCTTCCATTGGAGAACTGGATTTTCTAGAGGCATTTCATATTCACAAAAATCTTTCTGTTCTAGTTAATGATCCTAATTACAATCCAAATTTGCCTTCGGCTTTTAGAGAAATTATGTTTTAGTTCTGGTTTCGACAACAGATGGCGCCACTTGCTTATTCTTGTCCAGGCTTTCTTATCTTATCTAATCATTATTTCCTATCTTGTTCATTTGCGGTTTTGCAGCTGAAGATGATGGTTCGGTAAAACCATCGAAACTACTCCTGTGAAAATTTTGTAGGTATAACGCTGATTTTTGTTGTTTGACTTCTGAATTAGTATTTATTCGGCGTGTTATTGTGTCTTAATTAAAAACTCACGTTTATCAAACTCACATCCATCGCTTATTAAACTCAGACTGGCAAAAGATAGTGTCAGAATATCTTTCCTGTACCTAGCAATGCTTTTCGTAGTCCATCTATTAAAATTATTGTGGACCGTATCTTTATCGTTAATGTATGTAATACTTCAATAAAATGGGTTTGACTGAAATTTTCCTAACCTTGCTTTCTGTATTTGTCTTCAGACTTCCTAATCTGAACTGGACTTCAGACAGGCAGAATTTTCTTATCTGAAGGTTAATAAAATAATCGTCTACAGTTTGGGAACTGTAACTGAGTGAGGGTTTTCAACTTCTGTACCCCATCTTTTAAGCTAAGGCACAGAACAGAAATTCCGAAGTACCTATGGTTAGGAACAACCTATTTAAAAACTTTAAATAGTGTGCAGAATAAGAAAAATACACAAAAGTAAAAAGAAGGAAAAAATAAGGAAATCTAACATAGCTTGAGCTGTAAAGGAAGAAAAGAAAATAAATCTCTGTGTGAAAGGTGAAAATATTTGAAGAATCATAATTAGTATAAAGAAAATTACAGAATCCCTAGGCCAACGCGCAGAAATCATAGCGTGGAGCTAAGGTGAAGAGTTTGAGGGGTACTGAGACCCTAACTCAGGAACTATATACCGACTTATATTCCAGCTATATATGACTCTCCAACTATATATCAACTGATATATAGCTGCAGGAAGAGAAACCCAAGACTGTTACCCAGGAATTGCATAGATGGAAGGAAGAAGCGGATAATCATGTAGCAAACAACTGGATAGAAAACGTTTTTATTTCGGCTTCTAAAGTGAATAAAAACTACAAGAAATTTATAACAAAGATGAAGCTGGAACGATACCAGAGCACGGATCAATATTTAAGAATGAAACGGCAGGTGGGTAAAGAAACTGAAGGAATACGTTACTGCGTTATTAACGTATAACATAAATCCAACAACTCAAAAGACAATTGTGGTTATTGCCAAAAATGAAAGTCTGGATGTTTGAAAGGAGAAAAGAATTTACTTCTAATATTTCATAACAGTAAGAACTCATATATTACAAACCCTGAAATAATTTTAATCCTGAAATATTTTAACTTCTTATTCTAACCCCTCTAAGAAGTAGTGCCTTAAATTTTGCAATGTTATTTCGCGTATATCAAGATTTGTTTTGCAACAATTTGTTTTGATTTAATATATATATGATGTTTAGATTCGGGGGATTTTAAAATGCTTATGTCACTAGGAAGTTGAAGCGGAACACCTCGATAGGGTATGTTTGTTGTAGGATACTATATGACAAGATTTCTCTTCTATAAAAATACAATAACAGCCAGAGTTTACTCGATACATTGATTAATTAAATTTGTCTATAATTCGAGGCACCTATAGGTCATTTTTCGTACGTCGAAGTTGTGTCACTTTTCACAAATGCCGTAAACCTTGCTCCTGCTTAAGAGAGTGAGACCAGTATCAAAGCTTCAAGTTTATCCATTACCGCGAAATAAGCTGTTAAAGTTTTCTAATGCCTTTATGGCCTTGAAAGACAAGCTAAATTCAACAAGACGAACAAATTTCAACAAAAGCTGTTCGCGGAAAATATCGATGCCGTGCGTGAATAGATAAAGCAAGATCATCTTGTGAGATACCGTGAGATTGACGCTTTTTAAGCATTAGTATGGCAAATATAAATAAATTCCATGACCATTTGGCCATAAAAAAGATTTGTTTGCGTCGGATCCCGCACAATCTGACAAACGCTCAAAAGAAGGCTCGTGTAGATCGATGCAAGGAAATGTTGGAAATATAAGTTCAAGCTGCATCAGCTATTTATAATTATTTATAACATCTACAAGCTATTTATAACATCTACAAAGGTGACGAATCATGCATCTAAGAATATGAACTCAAAATAAAGCAACAGTTGACTGTATGGGTCTTCCAAGTCGAGCTAAATTCAACAAAAGTTCTTCGCGGAAGAAGCACATCGAAACAGATGATTGCCTGTTTCTTTTACTTTTGTGTTTCTTTACTGCTTTCATCTGCGGTATAGTCCTGATTTGGCACCAAATGAGTTTTGTTTATTCCCGCACATCAAAATAAATTACGTGGTCAGCGATTTGCGAAGACGGAAGAAGAGTCTGATGCATTCAAAACACATGTTTTGGAGTTACCTCAATGGGGGTAGAAAAAAGCTACGAAAATTGGTTCAAACGCGTGCCCGAGTGTATTGATCTTCATGGACAATATTTGAAAAACAATAAAATCAATTTAAATCAAAAACGTATTTTTTTATTATTAAGCCAAAAATATAAATAGCAACTCTCGTATTATACTCGATGGGTTAATCTTTCAAAATCAGTTAAAAATATTTTAAAATGGGACTTTTATGTAGAAGAAATCCTCAAAGGAATCGCACGCTATAGCTAATATTTCAGATTTCAGTAAAGGAAGTTACGAGGATTCAGTATTCGAATATGTATTAATTCACAACAGTATTGAGGCAATGTATATAAAAATTGACTATGTATGGAGCATTGCGTTAAACTAACTGCATACGCTGACTAGTAAAATAATGCAGAGAAACGCGATTATTTGCACTCTTCAATCGAATCTAGAAACGTACTGCATATTCTAAGAAAATTTCTTAAAATGGAAAGTGAAGATGAAAAAAGTTATCAGAAATTTTACAAAACGGAGAATGCAATTCATAAATTGGATTTGAAGACTTAAATAATATGAATCAAATACAGATTTGTAAAATCTAAATTTTCAACAAAAAAGGAATTTAAAAAATATTTTTATGAAAAAGTTTTAAATGAATTTTAAATTTGTGTCAGTAATTTAATTGTAGCATTAATGTTTAATTATTATATTATAATTAATTAATGGATTAGCTGTTAGTTATTATTTTACTTGGAAAGTTTAAAACTGCTATTACGGTTTGCAATTGCCGCTTACTACTTAACGAACTCAAATTGAACGGAAGTGATTTTAATAAGCGGCAAGTACTGTATATGAAGAATTAATATCAAATCAGAAAATAATTTTTAATATTTTAATTAAATTTGAAATCAACTTCTAATTAAAGTCATTGCTTATATTTTTATCTTCTGCAAAGCTTCAGTATTTTAGCATAGGGAACTATTACTTGCAGTAAAAATTTTTGCGTAAACGGAAATAAAATTTATCTAAATACAGTAGAATACAAAACTTATGACTTTACCTGTTGGACTCGCCAGACAGGGAAGCGAATTGTTGGCCTTTTTGAGATCATCAGTAGAATGAACATTCGAAGGTGCCGCCACTTCTGTTTCATTCCAAAGCGAATGGTTGGCCTTTTTGAGATCATCGGTAGAATGAACAGTCGAAGGTGCCGCCACTTCTGTTTCATTCCGAAGCGAATGGTTGGCGTTTTTGAGATCGTCAGTGGAATAAACGTTTGAGGGTACCATGTCAGTTTCATTCCGAAGCGAATAGTTGGCGTTTTTGAGATCATCAGTAGAATAAACGTTTGAAGGTGCAATGTCAGCTTCATTCCAAAGAGAATGGTTGGCGTTTTTGATATCGTCAGTAGAATAAACGTTTGAAGGTGCAATGTCAGCTTCATTCCAAAGAGAATGGTTGGCGTTTTTGATATCGTAAGTAGAATAAACGTTTGAAGTTAGCATGTCAGTTTCATTCCGAAGCGAATAGTTGGCGTTTTTGAGATCGTCAGTAGAATAAACGTTTGAAGGTGCAATGTCAGCTTCATTCCAAAGAGAATGTTTGGCGTTTTTGATATCGTCAGTAGAATAAACGTTTGAAGGTGCAATGTCAGCTTCATTCCAAAGAGAATGGTTGGCGTTTTTGATATCGTCAGTAGAATAAACGTTTGAAGTTACCATGTCAGTTTCATTCCAAAGCGAATAGTTGGCGTTTTTAAGATCGTCAGTAGAATGAACATTCGACTGTGTCACCTCTGTTTCAATCCGAAGCGAATGGTTCGCGTTTTTGAGATCATCAGGAGTAAAAACAATCGAAGGTGCCATCTCAATTTTACTTCTTTTATCATTTATAGGCACACTGTAATCGTTGAGAATTCTTTCCTTGTTGGACTCATGTACAGTATCAAAAAATCTATACGAAATTTTCAAAGCAGAGATACTGTTATTATTTGAGCTGATGCTACAACTACTGTCATTTTGAGGATTTATTCCTTCTACAGTTTCATAAGGAATAGCAGGCACAGGTGATGGATTATTAAATAATTGAATATCCATTTTGTTCGATGAGTTTTGGCTAGATAATTGCTTTAATTTATCGTCTTTATTTAAATCTGTAAAGGATGTCTTGTTATAATAAACAGGATTCAACTCATTCTTCTCTTTCTCACTTTTTAGATTTGCAGTATTTAACTGACTTTGACTTGTTTCATTACTAGCAGACTCAATAATTTCATTAAAAGGGCGTTGTTTATTGCTGTAAGTATTTGGAAAAATAACTGTGGTATTCTGAGGTATGACTGTGGTATGAAGTTCCTGAGAAGAATTACCTGTTTGCAAATCATAAAATATTGGTTCATGTTCTACAGAACTTCTAGATGCAGTATGTTCTGAGAGTAATTCTCGCTTAAAATCAAAAGAAGGATATGGATCATCGTCCTTCTTAAGACCGTGTTCTCTTCTTGATCTTGATTGATTTACATCTGTAAAAATAATGAAAGATATTTTTAAATAATATTTTGCAACATAAATATAAAAACAAGAAAACAGCATATTATAAACATATTACAAAAAAGCCTGCAACAGTCTTTGCAGTGATATCATACAGATTATTCAATTGAAAGTGGACCACATTTTAAGAACGTAAAATTTTGTTCACATTTTGTATTCTTCAATTCAATAGTTATAACACTGCTATGTGAAAGAGTTTGATAACCCAATTTTTCATGGGAGAATTAATTTGTCAGAAGCAGAAACGGGATTTATAAGTCCTTTGTGAAAATCACTCATTCAGCACGGTCATATGAACCTTGAAAACGGTTTAAAAACTGTGTTTGGGATAACATTTCCATTGTAGATCAGTCCTTAAGAACAAGGCATACTTTGATCTAATTAGACGTGTCAACGGTGTTCCGTAATATTCCCCCCCCCACAAAAATTAGACATGAAGAAGATTATTTTTAATACAGAGGCTAACAAATATACTAGTGCATTTTGATAAATTAACAAACTTCGATAAAGGGAGGTAAATCAAAGTGATCATATTATCATAGAAATAAGTAAATTTTTCATTTGTTGAATGTCATGAAAATAAGTAAATAATTTGTAGGGTTTAACTTCATTTTTAATAGTTATTTTTATTTTGGAACAAGCCTTTTCCTTACCCTCCAATTACCTACCTACGTTTCTCTGCCAGAATGAGTTTTCAGTATTACAATTTATGCGAATAATTTGGAAACGACTATTTAAACTGAAGTCTGGTTCCCTTCAATAGGACAGTGTGTTCTGCCTTTCGATCACGCTTTTGCTATTAGTTAAATCTTACTATTCTACGGCTGTACTTAATGCAAGCCTGCTAGTATACGCCCGTGATCCTTAATTAGAGGCAAACTACGAGAGTCTGATTCTCTGCATTTTAGGCTGATTAATTTTATAATAAATCTGTAGTTTTATATTTTCTATTTTGAGTTCAACCCCAAGTGGAGGCTTTCCATTCGCCCAAAAGGGTAAACTGTAAATATATTTTGAGTTAGAATAATATGGTATTTTATTTTAACGCTTTTTGGAGTTTTTACTTACTCACAAGAATTCGGAGAATAGTTTCTAATCAGTTCTTCGGTATTCTAGCTTCCAAGAACTCCGTTTTAACTAGAATATTTCAAATTTAAAAAGGAAACGAAACGCAAAACACACAAAACATATATCTTTTAATTTTTATGCAATTTTTTCTTTTGAAATTGAATTAATATTCCACTTTGGTATCATGAATATAATATGCCATTTCTATACAAATAGAAATAAGTTTTTCCTTAATAAATTATTTTTTATTTCTTTGAAAATATTTCTCCAAAAATATGGTACGTGAGTCATCAAGACCACAGCATCGATACTGGTCTATGGACGGTATTGATCAGTGCTTTGATATAAATTCGCTTGATCTTTTCTTTGCACATGCTCCATAATGAGCTCGTGCATGGATGCGTTCAGCTTACAAAGGACATTCCCATAGTTCAAACTCGTAATTATTGTTGCCACCATATTTTACTTCAGTTTCTTTCACATACCACAAGAAGAGTTTCACCGACGCGAAGTAAAATCTCGATTAAAAGTATATTAATTTAGTTACACGTGGTTGGAAATTTTAATTGTGAGGAAATTGCAATTTCTTACTACTTACCTCAGCATACCTAAAGCATCTATGGGAACGGGTGAAAGCTAGTTAATCCTTTCTCTCTTAAAGCCAATAACAACTCGAGCTCATTAGATTTGCATGAAAATCCGACTGCATTCGAAATGAGTTGTCAAAAGCGGTTAAATTATGGGGTGTTGGAACCCAAAAATCTTCAAAAATGATTACTTCGGATTTTTGCATTTTCAAATTCTCTACACTTTTATCTTTCTAAAAATACCATTCCTTAATCTCTATGAAAATTAGAACTGTAAAAAATCTAGTTTTAATTTTTCATCGAATGCTTTGATAAATGAGGATTTTTACATAAAAACGCGTTTTTCTCTAAACATAATTTTTTTATACTCGATGTACCTTTCCTCGGGAACAAGTGCTCACAGTTATCTGAAATTTTTATGGCATATTTATTAGATTTCCTTATGTTTACTGAAATGAGCTTTTTGTGATAAACCAAGAAAAAAAATTGTGTGAGAAAAATGCTAAGTTTTACTATGCCTAGCAAAGTATTTTGTAAATTACTCAGAAATTCAAAATGTTTCAAAAGCTCATTTCATTATAATAAGATAGGTGTACTTTAATTACACAAAAAATTTCAAGCGGGTATCTACAGCAGATTTTGAGAAAAGTACATCGAAAATGGCCAATTTAACATTGTCGGTATAGGAATTGCTCATATCCCTTCGAGTATCAGCAATCCTATACCGACAATGATGATATAGGGCGCGGTTGTAATACCGATAAAATGATTACACTTTAAAGTGCCAGGTTAAAAATTTACTGGAAAGTATTATTACCTTAAATGTTCGGGTATAATCTAGTCTACCCAGCAAAATGGCGGTATGCAAATAGGATAAGTGTATAACGAAATTGTTGGATCGTGATTATTGAGTTTTCGAGCTTTATTCTTACGAGACCTGGGTCTGGTGTACAGTTTAGAAAATAAGATTACTATAATAAAAAAGTTTACTCTTGTATCATATCACTGACACCTACTGTGCTCAAAAGCAAATGTTCGCTACTCCCTTTCTGGTTCTCCCTTTCTGGTTTCTGAGTCTAAAAATTGCTTATTTACTACCTTGGTCAACACGATGAATAATGGCAAAACTATTTGTTTGAAACAACGATGGATGCTAGTCTTACCTGAAAGTTCAATCCCTTATTCCAAAGCTATAAGCGTCACTTTTTGACAGAGCTAGATAGCTTGACATGTCATATCCTAGTTCTACATTAAAGATTCTGGAAGATTTGACAGAATTATATTTAAAGACTTTGAATTCTCTAAATCGCTTAAGTGTAGATTATATTTCCTAAAAATACATTAAATAACTGATGTATATAAGCAATACACACCTTGGAAGAGCATAAAATGAACATCACCGTTGTGATTCACAAATATATATTAGGAATATCCTCGTAAAATTTCTAAACTAGTGAAACAAATAGACAAATAAATTGAGCTTAATGAACCTCATTTCTAAAATAGTCTATAGGGAGATTTCATATATATGTGCGAGCCCACCAGTGGCCGAGCGGTAAAGTCGCTGAACACTGGTAGTTCGGTCCGAGGTTCGAATCCCGCGAACGGGCTGGCTGCATGGGCGTTTTCTTGGTTTTCCCCATGTGTAACGTGTATACGAGCCAGTTTCCCTTAGAAAGTCCTCCACGAAGGCATCCCTCCTCTTAGGCGAGATAGCCCTCGAGGCTTTGCCATAATCACACACACACACACACACACATATATATGTGCACTTTCTAACATAGGCTATAAGCATGTCTAATATATATGTAGACTTACTGTTTATGCAAAGGTTCCATTTTAAATTTAATGCTCTGTATATACCGATTCACAGATTGGCTGTTATTATAACGGAAACATTCTATAATTGAACTGTAAATGGTATCATCAAAATTCTATAATGCACATGCGTTAACAATATTCGGATTCTACATGATTTTAACATTAATATTAAAACGTTGATGAATTTTAAAAACAGTATTAAACATCCTTATATTCTAGTTTTACAATTTAACTTTGTGGAGATAAATTTAATTTACCTAATAGTTAATTTTTGTTTCAATTTTCATCCCCATTTTCATCTACGCTTTCTTATCAAAATGTTAATAAGCCGGCACGAATTTGTTATCGAAAATTGTTATGTATTATTTTATAGTGTTAAATTATTCCTTATTATTTTATTGTGCATAAGGTATTCTTAGTATTTATATCATTTTAACGTGGACAATGAATTGTAATGTTCGTATTTAAGAATTAATGTATAATATTTCGTATTGTTTAAACGGTGGCTTTGCAAATGCGGTCAAGAGCAGGAGACTGACGTTAATTACGGAAGGGGGAGAGTAAACGGCTGTGTCAGATATCATATGGGGAGATATATTTTAAAAGAAAAGTATTTTTAGGTCTCATTCAGTATCAGTATATCAGGAATATATATCGCGCGCTGGAGATAAATTTTTTTTTTTCGTACAGTGTTGCCATTGCTCGCTTTGAAATCGCTGAGTTTGTTACTCAAAAATTCGTTGAAGTGTTATAAAATATGAAATCGATAATAAAACAAATTTTAAATTCAAATTAGGGCTTCCACACGCCGATATTATTCTATGGAAGATTACGTTATTCAAATTTTGATGGTTCTAGGTACCGTCGTTTTATCATAAGCGAGAAGCATACATACATTCATGCAGACTCTTCATTATTTAATTTCTTTAAATATAATACAGGGCGATAATATTTGGTGGCAACAAGTTGAAAAGTGATTCGCCGTTTATAGTTTTCAACGCGAAATGCCAAAATGAAATTAATAATCCTTCTGGGCAAATTGCCCCTTTGGACTAATAATGTATTCTAAGAGCGATAGGCTGATGCCTACCAGTAAGGGTTTGGAATCAAGAATATATTTCGCAGAACCATATTACTTGCAAGTATTTCATGGACTGATATCGTTAAATTTTGAAATTTCATATAAACTAGAAAAAGGGATATAAAAATTAGGAAATATTTTATTTTTAAATAAACATTCAATTTATGTGTAGAGAGTTTCAGAGATGTAATTTTATTGGGGGGGGGAGAACTAGGAAATTCCCCTAGTTAAGTAATGGAAAATCGGGAAATTTTTGCGATCGAGGAGCAAAACGCTTTTTTGTGAGAGGGTGGTGGTGGTCTATACCAGAAACGAAGGAATAACACAGATAACTGGCATGTAACTAAATAAAATATTATACATTTTTTTAATTACAAATTTACATTTATTAATCAATTCAAGAAATGCATACATAAACATTAAAGTCAAGATTACTGCTTAATTTGACTGTATTTTTAGACATTATGCTGTACCTAAAACGGCTTTTCTTCGTTAAGAAGTTCGTTTTTAAAAAGGTACCCTTTCCCATCGAAATCGTCGGCACTGATACGAAATGAAGGGCGATTTATACTATACCTCAATATCCTGGCCTGTAAGATGCGCAGTGGTTTATCAGGTTAAAACTTGGGAAAAATACTTAGACAGAAAAGGATTAAGTACCTATTTTAATGATAACACTTCATACAACGAAAACAGGAACTGTTGCATTTAAAAAATTAGCAAATACATCAGCGTTTCTTAGAATCCCAGAAATTCTTCATCGCTTGTTGCTAAAATCATAGTTATTTTCACTTTGGTTGTCACTGTAACTAGATTTGCCACTTTCCTAAAACTCAATGTCATCTTTATTTCCACCTAGTGCACTGCTCATTCCACTCTTTTAAAAAGATTTGTTGTAGGATGAAATTGGATAATAGGATAAATGTATTTTTCAGTATTAACTTCATTCTGAAGAATTTTCTGCAGTCTAGTTTGCTTCATTTTATTCATAATTCTCAAATTAAAAACAATTTAATGTTTATATGTCATTAGAAAATTAACCAAAAAGCACACAATGTAATTGAAAAACAGTCCTTAGACGTGAAAATATTGAAAGCCATTTGGGTTAAGACTATTTTCTCATACTCAGCTACTTCGCATACATGGAACAGCATTCAAAATGAAAAATTCAATATTTACTACAAATTCATTTATGTAACAAATATCTGTCTTTCTTCTCCTACTTTAAAAAAAGATGTTATTTGCCTTACAGTTTATAGTTAAAAAATACATTTTCATTGTACAAAATTGCATTCATTCGAAGAATTCAATTTGTATTTTCCTCTGTATAAAAACTGAATGTAAAGAAGTTCGATGTTTAAACGACCCCCACATTTTCTCAAGACCAGAAGCAAGATTATCCCCTCTTTTTCAGTCCCCCGTGAAAAAAGGGGTTCTAAATTTACGACCTGACCGCATATAAGGTGATTTCGTTCAAACTTTTCGTTCAATTAAGGCAAGCTCTTTTAAATTTGGCAGAAGATGAGTTACAGTTAAAAGGGCGCGGGTGTATTTCCGTTTCTCACGAGTCGGCTTCTTTTGGAGGTTAGGAGTGGGACTGCCCAGCTGAAATTTCCTCTTTTGTGGGGGTTGAACACACGTGTTTTGCTCGTTCAGAGGCGAATAGTTCTAAGGGGCGGCGATTATTTCACAGAGTTATAGGTTGGAAACATTCCTGTTTGCGCGGGAAAGTAAGGGTCTGTCACCTTGTAGAGAGTTCTGAATTTCTGCGAATTCTAGAGGCTATTTATCGCCTTTCTTCTAGTGGCTAGAGGGAGTCCAAGTTCTGTTTATAATTGGCTAAATTTTACTTTTATTAATGTTTAAGCCAATAGTGATTTTGAGGCGTTTCTTGGAGAGTGTCAACCGAGCTTTTAAAAGCCGCTGCACGAGAGGCAGGAGTCGATTTTAGAAGTTCTTTTTAGCTGATTTTGGTAGATTTTGTTTAGCAGATTTTTCAGAACCTTAGCGGGTTTGATTCCTTCACGACGGCCCCTTGGGTGCCAGCCGCGGTCAGTGGGGTGCTGAGATGACCGGAGAAAAAAACAAAAACGCGGCGGCTCTTTGGGGGTCGACCGCGGTTTATATTTAAAGCTATTTATCACCGAGATTCTGGTTACGGAGACCTGTCCGAGGCAGTGAGGGTGCTCGTCGTGTTGGACGGTGGCGATTCCTGTCTTGCGGCCTATTATTTTCGCCATTTTGTGACACCCTGCCCGATCAACAATTTGAAAGTGTAAGTGACGACTCTTTTAAGCGTACAGAAACATTACTGTTATTCCAGCAAAGGTCCTTTATTCACTTTAAAAAATGCTTAGTTGCTAATGTGCAAACAACCTAGGTAATTTGAGAAATGAAACTATTTTCCGTATTTTAATGGATCACCCTAGATAATATGCAGTATAACTAACTTCAACATGAAAGTAACATGAAACATATACAAAAGCTGAATGTTTTTTTTTAATTATATATTTTAAATAATAGATCATGGATTGAAATAGAAAATTTATAAATATATATTATATGAAAATGTTAATTCGCAAAGCATATATACATATTAAATGCAGAAATTAACTGGAAAAAAAATGGGGTACCTGATTTTCCCTTGGACTCAGCAACCGTCGTTCCTTTCTTTTCTTGATCTATAATAAGTATTAATATTTTCTTTCATGTAAGCATGTACATTGCGGAAAAAAAAAAAAAAAAGAAAGAAAGAAACGGGACAGTTCTGTGTCTCCCTTTCACTGGGCCGATTAACGAAATCCAGATTGCGTTTTCCATGTCTCGACTTAGGATATATATTAGATTTTTATATAGCATTGTTCTAACAAAGGGATTTTGACAAAAAATCGGAATTTTTCTGAAATGACATACCATTTGTTTTCCATATTTTGATTCTACGACACAAATTATGCCTAAATACTAAACTTTGTAAAATTTGGTGCGATATTTATGGAGAAATTCAAAAATTTTATCACCAAGTGAATTATTCTTGGTGCAAACTGAATTTTTTTTTCAGTTTGCACCAAGAATAATTCACCTGGTGAACTTCTTAATTTGTGGCAACCTATTTTCATTTCCCTTTTTGCATTGTGCACGATGGGGAAAAATGCACTTCGTTCCCACTTTCAAATAATTTTAACAAAGTGCCTAAATCACATTTGCTGTTTTATCGCTTTCAAGAAATATGCAAAATTCCAAAACGCGCCAATATATATTCACGTATATCTTCGGAAATTTTGAATAAAAATCTCTAATTTTTTGCAGGTTTACTTATAAATACATCTATTTTAAGATGATGGTAAAACTTCTGTAGGTTATAATTCAAAATGTTTTTCGAGAAATTTATAAAAATTGTTTAAAAATACAAATTTTAAAAATAAATCTTAAAAATTGGGCAAAATTTATTTGGAAGGAACTTGAATTTCGAAATATGAAAGAAAGAATCAAATAAGTTTAATAAAAAAGAGAGATTAAAAAATATATACAAAATTAAATTAACATCGAGGAGCCAATTTTTTAAAGAACTACTCCTGCGATTTTGACAAAACTTGAATCGTAGAATCGAAATATGGAAAAAAAGTGGCATGTTCTTTGAGAAAAAGTCCTACTTTGTGTCAAAATGCCTATATTAGCCCAATGCTGTATATAAATCTAATACATATCCTAAGTCGCGCTTTCGAGACATGAGAAACGAAAATTGAATTCCTTCAATCGGCCCAGTAGAACAGGAGATATAGAACTGTCCCATTTTTTTACGCATTGCACATATAGAGTGCACACATTTTTTTTTTTTCACATATAGAGAGAATTGTAATAAGATGCAGAAAACAAATCAAAATACAAAATATAAAAAAGACGCAAACGAACAAAGAAAAAATAAACAATAAATAACTGAAAGATTTCAGATTTTTAACATTCGCACAAAAGGTTTTGTTAAAGCTGTTTACACTCTTGCTGAGCTCGCAGTCTACCAGTCTCTTCTTGCACTCACTCCTGCTAAACGTTTTTTTTTTTCCTTTATTATTAAGCACCGTTTTTTTTCGTACTTATACCATTTAACTTTCAACAAAATAAACAATTTCTTACAGTTGCATGATTAAAATTTCGGATGCAGTGTTAAGTACTGGCATGCGTTTTTTAATTTTGTTTCAGTCTCTCAGTTCTTTATATTAGTATTCAGTTTTCTTAGTAAGCTAGCTAATAAAATAAACTACTCTTTCCATTCTTGCCCTTTTGAGTATTAACTGTATTCATTAAATATTACGTTCTTCGCACCTAAGCTACATAACATTCAATTCAAACACAAAATTTCAATGTAGTTAAAAACAGTTGATTTTTATAATTCCCAATAGAGGTTACCATACCTATTTTTATGTTTGCTAGACTGTTTCTTAAATAACTATGTTCCAGAGCCGCGAAGCGCCTAAAATAGTTATCATAGAAAAGAAAATATATATAATGGTTTTCATTCGTTCAGACAGTTTAAATTCATAAAGGTATTAAATATTTATAATTGGATATCTCCTGATTTTAATACATGCTTATTTAAATCAATCATATCAAAAAGAAAAAAAAAACATATTCTCCAGAATTGTGTTTAATGCTTTTAAATCTTTTATTTAATGCTTTTAATCGTTTACTCAAAAACTTCTAGGCTAACTAAATCTGAAAGTACCATAGGCTTCACTGAATGGCAACACGCTAGCTGGTGGAAGATAAAACTATTTTATTTCCAGCGGCGGCAAAATATTGTTTCACAGAGCTGAGCTTGCTATTTAAGACAGTTAAATATTAACATTTTTTCAAAGGCAAAGACAGAATCTCTCACGCTTAAGCTAATTTTTTTTTTTTTTTTTTAACAGAATTACTATTCTCACTCAAATCGTAGAGTTGGCTAATAAAAACTACACTCAGTTTTAACATATATTAAATTATAAGATATTTCTCCCGCCTTCCTAGCCTGCCTTCGTGGTGTAGTAGTTCTGCACGCTGGGCCGGTAATCCAGAGCTCCGTGGTTCGATTCCGAGCAAAGACGATTGCTCATTTTTCATCTTGCCTGCTTCCAGAAAAAAAACCTAACGTCTCTATAGTGGCGCCCGAACTAAAAGAGTGTTGAATGATGATTCTCTCATCCAGGATCTGGCGATTGAGTCCCTTAAAAACCCCAGTCGCCCTTTAAAAGGGTGGAGTATGTACCGTATGTACACAACGATATGTAAATCTGATATTTTCTGACGCGTCTTACATATAAGAGTATAATTCTCACCTATCGTTAACTTTAGTATAACAGTTGAATTCCAGAAATCTAATACTAATGTGTTTAATACTGAATGGATCCCGCATAATAATTCACTATAGAAAATATTTAATATAATTTGAGCGAATATATAGCCCAATTTTTTTATACATGATATCGAAATTCTTACAGGAAAATAAAGACTAACAATGTCTCTCGTCCTCAACATACACATTATAATAAATTTTTGACATTTTAATAAAACCATTGAACAAAATTTGCTTTAAGCACCACATACCTAAACCTCCTGATTTCGCACCAACTCCCAATGCACCTGAACCACCTAAAATGAATAAATATGCAGCAGTTATAGCTTTCAATATTTTAGGTTTCTTATGATTAAAATGGTTCTTTTTAATAAGAATCAATCCGAAGAATTCAAGAACTATAAATTAATGTTCACTTTACAGCCGTGCGTAATTCGTGCATAATGGTATACGCCGGGTATTCTTCTATAACTGCCAAATGCTGGAGTTAATTGTGTGCAACTTCGGTTGATTCATTGTATTTAGTATTAATTTATTTTATGCTAGTGTAAATTAAAGACCAAAAGTAGGTTTATTGTACGCCTCAGAGGAACCACATACTTACTCAACATTTCTTTGGACTTGTTACATACACTAGAAGAATTAAGCGAACAGTAGCTACAAGATTCATTAGTATTTTAGCTTGCGAGGAACTCTAGTTTAGGCAGAATATTAAAAGCTCATTACTGGTCAAATACTTGGGACATTTGTGATATATCTTGGCACTGCGGTTTTCAGTACATAGGCCAATCATGACCAGTATTTAAAACGTTTCCCCAGGTTACCATAAGTAGATATTTGACAATAAATTTTGCTAGGCTTATTAAAATTGCATTCATTTCAAAATCTCAAAAATTTGTCCTTTTTCATTAATACTATTAAGAGCTATACAAACCTATATAATATTTCCAGATTTCAGGCATATGAGTTTTTCACGTCATATGTATAATTTCGTTTGATGGATAGCACTGGAACTGCCAATGCTGTGTTCTATCATTTTTTTTAGTGTAAAAAGGGTCTACTCTTCTGCAATTTTTCCTGCCAAAGCTTAATTCCCTGAAAATGAAGGAGCTGTGTCTGTTCGCCCTTGAATTTGAAAGGAATTTTATGAATGTATAGTTTTATTCTAAATTTAGATCCATGAGTATAGATTTAAATCCATGAGTATCCATGAGCTTCGGATTAAGCTCGAATTTTGAATTGCTGTAAACTATGCAGACTGATTCTAAATTTATTATGTACAAACTTGGGGGGGAATGATCCAGAGCAAAGATATGAATAATATTCTCATAGAAACCTCGTGTTGCAAGAAATGTATTTATTCGTAAATACAAGTTAAAGTGCACTTGCAGTAAAAACCTGTATAATGCGAATGAAATCACATAACATCTCGTTAGAATTGGTTCATACGAAGAACAGCACACATAGAAAAATTTGAAACACATTTAAAAACATTTTCTTGAAAGTATGTCACGAAACAGATTTGCATATTAGTTATTTGCATAAAGATGTACTGTTGCGAAAGAAGGCAATAGGTGTTGTGACGAGGTCACATTGAAATAATTATTTACTACGTTATGGCAATATTTAGATATTTGCATCAGATTCCTTTGGTGACAATTTCATTTTTTTCGCCAACTTGTGTTGTAAGGTGAGGAACAGATTTCATCAGACAACTGTTGTAAGCGGAGGAAAGTATTGCATCAGACAACTGTTGTAAGCGGAGGAAAGTATTGCGTCAGACAACTAGCGTCTTCACTTCTGTTTGCCTGGGTAGCTGAAGGTATTTTGCGATTGGTTGCCTTCTGACGCTGGATTTTTTTCATTGGCGGCAAAACTTAACTGTGGAACTTTATAAAAGGCGGTATTTTTTGTCTACCAGGAGGGAGGAGAAGGAGGAGATTGTGAAGGTGCGAGATGGAGATGATGCTGCATAGAGAAAGACAGTAAGAGTGGAGTAAAAATGCAAACTTGTGGGAGTTTATCGTGCAAGCTTTCTTTGGTCTCCCAGTGTGTATGAAGGAAGTGATTTTCTTTCTCTTTGATGTTGTAGCTGCAAAATTTAAGCTAATCTCCTTTTTTTCCGGGCTTGTCATTTTCGCCCGGCATCCCGATGAAGAGTACCTGCATGTGTGTGAGCTGAAATACACCAAGTCTTCGAGGGGCTGTGTGGAAGAATTGATCTATCTTTTTTTTTGTTCTGAGTGAGGAGGCCTCATATCGTCATGTGACATACCGGAGTACAAAAAAAAGGGGGAATATCTCTTCAGTATTGTTGGTATCCAATAAAGCAAGAATTAAATCAGTTTTCACGTGTTTGTCACTCTCTCGTCACGGCGGGCTATAGACCTGGATCTTGTCCTGGGGTTAAGTTGCCACTATATTCCTGTTTATCATAACATGTGACATATACGTTTTGCCACCACAACCAACGAAAATAATCTTTACCACACTTGGTGCCGTCGCCCAAACCGTTTCGTGTGCTGTGGCAATTACATTAACGTTGCATTGAACTGTATCTATTCTAAGACTGTATTTAAAGCAGTTGTATTTATGAATGTATTTAAAGTGAATATAGATTGTATTAATCACATGAATGATTCAAAGTCTAACTGAATGTATTTAAGATGAATATACATTGTATTAATCACATGAATGATTCAAAGTCTAACTTAAGTCTTATGCTGCAGTGGTAAATTTGTTTGATATTAATTTTTTTATTTGTATTATATATATGATTTATAGTATATACCTTTATTGGGCAAAAATTTGCATATTTATCATATGTGTCATTTCATAGAATGTTATTTTGTTTAATTGAGTATGCTAAGACACGACAACAATCTCCTGAACAAATGGAAACTAAAACATTCACATTTAATATTGCATCATTTTCTGGTGATCCTGATACCGTTCGCTGGTTCACTAGCCAGATTAAAGAATATAAAACTCTTAATAATTGGAATGATAAAGTTGCACTATTATATCTGAAAAGTAAACTTGTTGGTGCTGCACAGCAGTTCTTTGCAGAGATCGCCTGCTTGTCAAAATGTGACTTCCCTAGACGAGGCTTGTGAAAAACTGATAAATTTCTTTTCGAAGGATTCTAACTCTTCATCTAATTTAATTGCTTTCCAGACCATTCAGCTGTTACCTGGTGAGTCAATGAAAAGTCTTGCTCATCGCATTGAAACTTTGGCTCATGCTACATACAACCATGTTCAAAATAGCAAAGCATTAAACCAAATAAAATCTTTGCAGTTCCTAGCTGCTTTACCAATAGAACTCAAAGAAAAATTAATTAGTGAATCTACAGATAATTTTGATCAGCTTGTGAATTTAGCTCAGCAAGATCATTCTAATTCGCAAAATTTGAAAATATTGCAAACACATTCCATTGCTTTGAATAGCAAAAATGATGCTATTGAGAGTTTAAAAAGTCAAGTTGAAAACCTCAGTCTTCAACTTGCATTACAGAATGAAAAATGTCAGTTTTGTAATTTAGATAAGCATCCCTTAAATCAATGTAATGCTGTTTTGTCTATACAGGCAGGTAATCCCACACATGCTCATACAAATGACCACTGTGTAAATTGGATGCAAGAAACTCCCATATATCCTCCATACCCACTTCCTTGCTTATACTGTCATAAATTTGGACATTCAATGTCAGTATGTCGTGCGTATTTGGCGATGTGTAGCCCTCGTCAGAACCAGGTTAGAAGTTCGAGTAACTATGTTAGCAGTCGTCCTAATCTCACTAGACCACAGTTCTATAGCAATAGTACGCGACAAGGTGATAACTCAAATGTTAACAGATTTCCATCTTATGGTCGGAGACCAAATTATTATAATCAGCCAAGATACAGTACCCCTTTAAACGCAAGGGGAGTTCACAAGTAGGTGGCGATGTGACCTCTAATGTTTCAACCAAGTCACCAAAAACCAACTATCATACGAGCAAAGAATCGGAGAGTATTGAAACATATTTAAATAAGCAAATGATAATCAGTGGTAAACCCTCGAGTTCTATCAAAGAGTTTTTGCAACAATTTCATGTCAAAAGTAAAAGTAATTGTTTACCTATTGCGCATATAAATAATGTCTTTTCTGATTGTACTCTTCCTTTGATTCATGTAACATTTGGTAAAAATTTGTGCACTTTTATTACTTGATTCAGGAAGTTCTGTGTCATTGTTATCAAAAGCTGTGTTTGATACAATAAGATTGGATACTAAAGTTAGATTTTTATCCAGACATGTTCAAATTAAAACTATCAATTCCAATTTACATTTTTTCAGCCTGTGCAGAAATATCATTTAAGATAAACAAGCAGCATTTTAAACACGCCTTTTTATGTATCTGATGCTTTTCAACAAAATTTTCATGGAATTTTAGGTTATGAACTTTTTATCCAAACATGATGTCTTAATATGTGCTAAAAGTGCAGTTGCAAAATTTAATAAATTTTGATGTACCTCTAATTAATATGGCTAATGTAAAAAATTATAATTGTAATCCTGTACCTTCAGAATGTTATGCAATTTTGAAACACAAAATTAATGTTAGATCCTGGAGAATCGACAATTGCGCACTTAAGAGTCAATAGTCCTCATGCTAACAATCAACCTGTCCTTTTTCAACCAACTGTAAGTAAACACATATTGAATTGCATCCTGCGATCCACACTCTAAAACGACAATTCCTTCATTACTGTCATCAAAAATATTGGTTCGAACAAGTGTTCATATTAAACAAAAATCAGAAGCTAGGTCAAGTCACATCTGATATTGAATTTGCTTGAGACCATACCTGATTCTGTAAATTCGGATACTCCTTCAAAATGAGTATTGCAATCTTATAACTCCATCAAAAGAGGTTTTAGAAAATAAGGAAACAAGAATTGTTACCAACTGACTTTGATCTTAACCATCTTTCTCCTGAACAAAGGCAGTGTTTATTGGATGTGTGTTAATCTCTAATTATGCAGCTTTTTCCAAATCTTTAAAATCACTTGGCTGCACTGATAGGGTAACCCCACAAATTTGTTTTAGGTCTTCGAATCCCATTAGGACCCTCCCTTTTGAAATTCCTTATTCATTGCAATCCCAAGTTAAAGAGATCTTCAGGAATTGCAGGAAGCTGGTTTTAATTCATCGAAATGTTGCTGAATGGGCTTGTCCCATGCTGTTAGTAAAAAAGAAGCCAGATCCCAAATACCCTAATAATCCACCCAAATACCGCATGGCTCTTGATTTAAGATTGCTTAATTCTATTATTGAACATTCAACATATCCTCTTCCAAAGATTTCAACGCTTATAAGCAACATCTTCCACTTACAAGTACTATTCAGTACTTGACTTAAAAAATGCTTATTGGCAAATTAAACTTCCCGATCACTTGCAGGATGTGTTAACATTTACTACACCTTTTGGATCCTTTGCTAATAGAAGGCTAGTTTTTGGCTTAAAGACTGCCGCCAGTACTTTTCAAGCTTTAGTGGATACGGCTTATTGATGAACTAAAAATGGAACGGCATCGTAGGTGTGCATGCATATCAGGATGATTATA